AGTCACGATCAAAGACTAGAGACGAAAAATGTGAAGACAGCTCTACTCTGAAACAAAAAGCTGTAGATAAAATAGTTGATGATATAAAAGGGGATAAGGTTGGGACTAGTAATATGATTAAAAGTACTAATATCCTTAAGGCTCGAGCAGGGGGGAGGCAAGAGTTGGAAGGGTCGGAGGTAGACAGAGAGGTCGAATCAGTGATGATAACCACAACACCCTCAAGCAGAGATGTGAAGACTCGCAAGAGGAAGAGAGAAGTAGAGGGATTGAGTAGTCCTTCAGTGGATGCTGTCTCAGAAGGGAACTTGAGAGAGACGGCGCCCATGGTTTTGGCGCGATGCAAGACGGCGGCATACAAGAGCAACACGGAGCTCAGAAGACCACTCGAAATAGATAGGGAAATAGAGGCTTCCACCAGTTCGACATCGGAGGAAGACTTCAAGCCCCAGAAGATAAACGTGAAGAGAGGTTCAACGAACGGGCAGACATGGGAAGTGGATGTCGGCAAGGAATGGGTCTCGAAGGGACACCAGGCCACGGGGAAGCAAGTGACGAGTGATCCACTGGAGAGGAACAAGACGAGGAACACCTCCCGGCCATGGTGGGTGGCCCTCGAGACATTGAAGGAAATGGAAGACTGCTTGAAGAAGTTGGACAGTGTAGTAGCTCGCAAACGACGCTATTGGACCACCCAGCAAAAGGCTGAGGTTAACAAGATAGAATTGGCGAACCAGCTGAAGAGGTCCTGGCAGAACTTGTTGAAGGATCATTTTGAAGAGGCAATGAGGACATCCTCATCAGCACCGCCATTGATGGCGAATCCCTTCGTTAGAACCGCGGGACAATTGATGTTCACCTGGAGTCTGGTGGGAATAGAGTTGGAGACACTGACCTCGTATGACAGGTTGAAGTTGGGAAGCAAGAAGCTAGAAGTGTATCAAGCACTGATGCAACACGTGGCCAGGGATAATTCAGGCTTGAGCCTGGCTAGGAGGAAGGATGACACATGTTTCTTGAGATGGATAATGTCAATGATGTCTGATAGCACCATCTTGGCGTGCTACCAAAGAGCAAGCGGAAGTAAAACCGTGGAAAAGAGAGTCTCAACGATCAACTTAAACGTATATCAGAGTACTGGAATAGAAAAGGAAGATGGTTCCAGACTATCCCTAGAGAACCACAGAAAGCTGGACGAGGTACGGAGGTTTTACAATAAGAAGTTCGAAGAAGAGCATGATGTTCACCGTAACCTGGCCTAGCCAGAGCAGTACTCGAGACTCAGTGAGAAGGGGGAATACCAATACGTGTCGGGAGTGATGGGGATAGCCTACAACCCCTTCTTAGACTCAGAAACTGGAGGCGCTCACAGGAATCACGAGGTAGCGGAGCTGCTGAAGTTTTGGACAGAAAAAATAGTGGAAATAGACGCGGTGGAGAAAGAGAGGCCGAGCCTGGGCCTGATTCTTGAGAAAACACCGGAGGTGGTGAGCATACCGCGCTCGAACAAGAGAGTTGAAGTGAACATGGGTGATGGCAATGGCTTGTTGATCACGAACTTGGGAGTGCTATGGAAGTTACTAAGACCCTCCTGGTGCCCACATCCCCACGCGAGTCTGATCGAGGAGACCACCGAGCGGGTGAGGTTGGCACCAACGGAAGATGAAGATTTGGCAAAGTTGAGTGTGGTGCACAAACTGATCTCACCTCAGATGAAGGAGTCAGGCGAAAAGACGAACAATCTCGGGTCAGCAAAGAAGATGGAGCCGGGTAGCTGTCTGGATTCGACGTGTGGGAGTGGAGAGCACACCTGCGATGGACGATCATGTGTCAGAATACTGTCCTTTCAAAAAGAAGATCTGGTTACTTGGTTTGAAGACATCACGGAAAGGGAGAAAAGTGAAAAGCAAATAGTGGCGGAGTGTTACGCGAGAACTACGGTGAACATAGCGACAGCTCTCGGATTCTTCTCGAGAATGTGTAGTCTGCAGTCACTGCAGAGGCTAGAGTCTGAACACCATTTAGTGACTGCGTTGAGCGTGGAATCATGTCCTGGGGTGTTGCAGGTGACTCAAAAGCACATCTGGAGCTGGAAGGTAGGTCTCGAGGCGGAAATGGGGTTTCCCATGAGCGATGCTTATGGCCTGCCATTGAACGCAAAATCCCTGATAGGGTCAATGATGGCCAATTTGTGCGGAAGCCACTATCCACTGCACATGGCGATGGTGGAAGCATCCAGCCAGAGAGTGTTGGTGGACAAGGCCTTCTCAGTGCCCAAGTTTGTGAGGTTGGCTCGGGTATCGCATCACTCGCACAAGTTGTTGAGGAAAATCAGAGGGACATTACCGAAAGAGTTGAGAGATGACTTGAGTGAAATCTGGGGAGAAGAGCTTTTGAGGTTGGAAAATGAGAACACAAGCGATCACGAGAGACAAAACGTGATCGGAAAACCTGCGGGGGTGCTCCAAACATGGAAGAGAACGACACGATGCATGAGAAAATGATGGAGCTTGAGCCTCTCTTGGAAGCCTCGGGGGAGCGTAACCTCGGGAGCATTGAGATCACCCATGGAGAATGCCCATGCCACTGTTTGGCACAAACGGTGTGGTATCCAGATCACAAGAACCTCTGCCTGGTGTGGGATATGGAAGAAATTCGGTCGATCGGACTACCGGATCACCGGCAGAAGGTGACACTCTTAGTAGTGAGTACGATGCTGGCTCTGAGATGGATAGAAGAGAATATAACGAAGTATCGGGAAGCGAAGACGCCAACGGCTGAGTCAATATATGCGATAGACTACAGCAGGAAACTCGAGTTGTTTGAGACTGCATGCAAAGTATTCGCCATACCAATGGAAGTCAGACACGTATGGAGCCGCTTGAGGTACTTTCCATGGTTTCGAGCGACACTGACGTCTTGGTTATACATGACAACAAAAGATCACATGAGAAAGCATCAAAAGGAGTATCGACAGTTCCAGGCCGAAATTGGGCCGGAAGCTTTCAAGAGACCCCTGTTAACCCATCAAAGTGCGATCACGACAGGATGGAAGAGAGTGGGTAAAATGTCTAGAGACAATACCAAAGCGAGGGAATCGATACTAGAGGAGGACTTGGCGAAGAACGTGAGCCTGAGCCTGCACAACTCCTTTTGTTTGAACCGGGAATCTAGGGTGAAGGCACTACCCAACCAAGCAAAGAGGTTGCAAGAGCAAAGAGAATGGATGCGATCCTACGAGCAGCTGAAGGCTTGGGAGGAGATCGTGATTAGCTCCGATGATGAAGAAGAACTGTTGAGACAGTTTGCCGTATCTAGTACTTCAGTGTATGGCACCTCCAAAGCGAAGAGTGCGAAATGAGCGGATGGTTCGAAGAGATCTTGAGTCTTGAGAGGTAAGGGGGGCTTGAGTGTGAATCCGGATGAAACCTGGGTTCACGAAAAAGAAATTTTAACGAATCAGATATTGTTATTAATATGCTATATTTACTATATAAATCAAAATGCTGCATGACAATTTCCTGATTGAATGGGACAAAAGAAATTTTAAATAATTGGCTTGAAAAGCGAGAATTCAAGGGTGCAGGTGTATGCAGATTTTGATTGCTGTTTAGCGATAGTGTGAAAATTTTACATGGCCGTGAATTTTGGGGTGTAGATAAGCTTAAGTCTGCTGCAAACTTCTGTAAATGACCACTGGCACTGTACCTTGAGCAACACTCGGTTTTCTGGGACTCACTGGCAGACGACAGTACGCGATGAGGACATCGATCTTGAGTCCGGGGAGTATGTGCCAGTCGGTCATATTTGGAAGTTTGACCTTGAGAAAAGCAAGAACACTTAAATTTGGAGTGAATTTTATTTTTCAAAAATTCGAATGGAGCCTGTCATGCACGATTTTCTCGCGATAACTGAAAACCGAAAAGAGAAATCAGAACGATCGAGTAACAATCGCGGGAAAGTTGCCAGATAAAACAATAGGAAATTGCTATTCGCAATTTCCGTCATAATAAAACTAGAGTAGAGCTGTCCTATCTGAAACAGAAAGAAGCGTATTCCCGAGAACTGGACTATTATCACTGGACTGGATTGTTATTCGAACTGGACTAGAGTGAACCTTCGATGGAAAGGTGGACAGCTTGAATGTCCCAATGGTTCACGAGAAACTATACTCTAGAGTTCAAACTTGGTCCTGTTATTGAAACTGATAAACATTAAACTCATTTAGTTACGTTATTTAATTCTCGAGTTGATTACCGACTTAATTACTCCCAGTTCTTGAGCGTGCTACGATGTGAGTACTCAATTTAAATTTCTAGAGTGTGTTTTATGATTGTTATGTTGAGGTAAGGCGAGTTTTAGGTTGATCCATCTGAAATGGATCAAAGTTCCATTGTCTAAAAGAAAGTAACTTAACGGATTGTTCCGACCCGGTTTTTAACGGCGTTCATGTATTTTGGGTATCTAGAGACCTAAGTATGGGGACGTTCTTATTTCTAGAGTGGTGGGATATTTTGGTAGTAGCCTTTAAGCTGTAACGGGTCGTAGTCTCATGTCAGAAGCGAACCGAATTGGCTCCGACTGATTTGAGGTAGAAAAACACAAGAGATAGTGTCCCTGGCTCTTGAGCCAATGGTTATAGGGCCTATTTTTCTTAAGCCTCATGTGTGACTACAGTAGACGAATGTTACAGATAGTGTCCCTGAATCTTGAGCCAATGGTTATAGGGCCTATTTTTCTTAAGCCTCATATGTGACTGAAGTAGGCGACTGTTACACATTCTGTCTCAAAACGATTTTAATTGGAGTTAAATCTCACTCTTGTCCAGTTTCTCTATCGCCGTGCACTGTTTGTGACGTACCGCAACTAGTGCCAAGCTCCCTTTTGACTCAATTTTATGAAGGTTGTTTTTATTTGCGTTCATAGTTCTTGTCTTCGACAACCTTAACAAAAAAACCATATCGAGCGTTTGGTTCGAAATAACTGTTCGAATATTTTTCAGATTGCTTAGCACGATTAAACAAAATGGATTAAATGCTATATCATTCCATCAGGTCGAATCTCAAAGTCAGCCGATATTTGCAATTCAGGAGCAACATAGCCAAAACGGCGTTAAAGAAAATGGTAAGCGTTTACGTGGCGTTTATTCTAGTTGTCAATATCGGTGACCCTGAGCAGCTTATCGGTCAAGAAATGGTTGTTTTAGGTTTGATTGACCATTTCATATGTTTTTTTAAGTGCTTAAATGGGTGGCAAATTCATTTGGGTGGCTTAAATGGGGGTATCAAAATGGGCAGTTTTTAGGTAAATTAAATTCATTTAAATTCGTTGATCATATTGCCAACAATTTAGCATTATCTATATAATTAGTAGCCAAAAACCAATTTATCAAAAAGCCAATGTAGCAAAATCATGTTGCCTACAAATTAGCACTATCTATATAATTAGTAGCAAAAAGTTCGGACAGACAAAAATAATTATAAAAGCAAGTTACCTTTTTTTCAGGCAATTTTTGCAAGCAAAAGCTAATTTTTCAGACGAAGCATGTCTCAATGTCACCTAAAATTAGAATTTGCAGAAAAATAGCTTTAAGTCGGCAGATTGCTCGTTTTAATTATTTCTGTTTGTCCGAACTTTTTGCAACTTTCTATATGTGTTGGAAAAAAGTAGGTAGCAGTATCTGTATTCTAATTCGTAGAAATTGGAAAAATTTGGCTTTCTTGAAGTTTTTGCAAGTGAAAATTTTGGTTTCCTAACTACTTCAGAGCGCGTCAGGTGATATTGAAAACAAACACCCTTTGAAGGTAAGTGGTATCTCATAGTTTTTCAGATTCCGATTTCATTTTGTAATAGACTTTGTTCCATTTTTTTAGTTAGTGCCCACTCCTGAGTTCATTCAAAAACGCGAAGTGTTATTTAAAACCCTTGTCGAAGAGACGTCAAATCAAATAATTGGTATGTTTTGTTTTTTCAGCTGTTTTAAATTTGTGGACGTGGAAACACAATATTGTTATTTTTTAGAACGTGCCAAAGAAGAGAAAGCCATTGAAATAACATTACTTGATGGTTCGATTAAAAGCGGCGTTGCTTGGAAAACTACTCCATTTGAAATTGCACAGTCTATAAGGTGATTTGATGTTTGAGTTTTTTAATGTTCATTCAATCTTTTCATTCGAGTTGGAGCAAGATAATTTCAAATTTGTAGCAGTTGATATTAGCCAAAGTTATTGCACTTTCGATATGCGAAGTTTTCTGGCAGAACGTTTTCTTTTTCCAAAAGTGTAATGGTTTTAGTCAAGGGTTGGCACAGAATGCAGTTATTGCTAAGGTCAATGGAGAACTCTGGGACCTTGAGAGACCTTTAGAATCAAATGTTGAGAGTCTGGAAATACTAAAATTTGATCACCCTGAAGCCAAGCAGGTACGTGAAAGCATTAGTAATGGCTGCTATCTTATTTAATTTCCCTCTTTGTAGAGTTTTACAATCAGAAGACTTTTCCGACAAACCCTTTATTCAACAGAAACGTTGAATCCTTTTTACCACCTGCTTTTTTACACCAACTAGCCTTCGAAGCATTTTATCATCAGTTCAGTGTTTGTCGCACGTTTTAACGCAAAGTTTGTTTGAATTTACCAGCATATGATGGATCTTTTCTTTTTGCTCTTTGATATCTGAGAAAAAATTATGCGTGTAGGTGTAAGTAATATAAGGCAAGTCACCACGATTAAAATTTTAAGGCAAAATACTCTTGCTCCTTAGTCTGAATCCCCTAGTATTAGGTTTTTCACTCGTACGAGTACAATAGTATTACAATCGGTTACTCGTTGGGAAGTCTGTGAAGGTTACGTTGTTAGGTCGTCTTACTTACTTACCGCTTCCTTAATTTTGTTTTTGTGGTAATTTCGATACTTTATTTTTTTTGCATTCTTGAGTTAATTTTGGTTCTTTATTGCTGATTTTTTTTCTAATTTGTTTCCCAAATAATAGTTTTATCAAATATTGTTGCGACGCAAATATTGTTGCGACAAAATGTGTTCATTTAGAAAGTGTTCATTTTGATCAATAACTAGCTAATAAGTGCAACCAATGCTTAGGAAATTAACACTGACTATTATGTTACAAATAGAGCTTTAGTCTCAAGTTATCATGGATCTGTAGCGTAAAGAACCGCAACAAAGTAAAAGGGTTTGAACCTGTGATGTTTTTTATGAACTTTTTCGTATACTAGTTAAAATGCGTCCGCTCTATAAGTTGAGGCGGGTTAATTGTTTTTTTTTGAAGTTGACTGCTAATACATCTTAGTTGGCGTGCGTCACTTAGCACTTATGTAGACACACAATTGGCATGCGTTACTTAAGATGTTTTTTAGACTGAAAGTTTTACTCATTCAGTTTTTCCCAGTAGCGTTATCGGTCATATTTTTTGCTTGTATGCGAAGTGCAACTTCGCCTGTGTAAAAGTTTGTGTTCAGTTGCACGAGTAAATATTTTATTGGCAAATAAATTTGTTAATTTCTGTTCATTTAAAAAACAAAACATTTTTTTCTCGCTTTTTTGTTTGACTTTTTGTGTTTTTTATTTTAAGCTCAAATGGCGCAATAATCGTGGATGTCATTTAGTTTCAAGATTGGAGTTTTCAGCGGCATTAAAACAAATTTTGTGACCAGAGGTTCTCTCATTGGTTTATGTAGGAAGTGTCAATCATGAAAAGTTTGGATTTCGAACAGCTTTTTAAGGTGATAATTTTTTTCTCCTAGTTTCATTTAATGTCAGAAGTAATAAAAGGCAGGTCACCACGTTGAACATTTAAAGGCAAAAGACTCCTTAGGCTGAATCCCTTAGTATCTGTTTTTTCTATTTTGCGAGTTCAAAAATGTTGCAATCGGTTACTCGTTGGGAGGTTTGTGAAGGTTACGTTGTTACGTCGTCTTACTCTTACTTACTTACCGCTCCCTCATTTTTGTTTCAGTGGTAAATTCAATCTTTTGCATTCATGATTGAAGGCCTGAACAATTTTTGAGTCAATTTGGTTCGTTTTTTGGCTGAATTTTTTTCCAATTTATTTCCCAGCTAATACTCTTTTCAACTAAGCAACTAATACTCATCAAATTTCATTATTGACCTTTTTGCATTCATGATTGAGAACGAGAACCTGAAAATAGTTTTGGTGTCAATTTTGTTTCTCCTCTTGGATAATTTTTTATTCCAATTTGTTTCTCGAAATAATTCTATTTACACAAGCAAAGCTTGTGTGATAGTATGATATCTCTTTTTTTCCAAACTAAGTAACAAATATTGTGGCGACAAAATGTGTTCAGTTCGAAAGTGTTCATTTGGATTAATGGCTAGCTATTAAGTACAGTCAATGCTTAGGACAGTAACACATGCTATATTATTACAAATAGTTTTTTTAGCTTCAAGGTATCATGAATGGGAAGGGGACCCGGAAAAAAATAAGAGCGTCCGCTCTATAACTTGAGGAGTGTTAATTGGTATTTTTTTTCTCAAATTGACTGCTAATACATCTTTGTTGGCTTGCGTCACTTAGCAATTATGTAGACACATAGTTGGCGTGCGCTACTCACGAAGTTTTGTAGACGGTCATATTTTTTGCTTGTGTATGCGAAGTGCAACTTCGCCTCTGTGTAAGAGTTTGTGTACAGTGGCAAGAGTAAATATTTTTTATTGGTAAATAAATTTGTTATGGTTTAACAGCATGTTTAAAAAAAAATTTCAGAAATTGATTTCTTTTTTTTTTTGCTTTTTGTTTGACTTCTGATGTTTTTTTATTTTAAACTCAAATGGCCCAATAATCGTGGATGTCATTTAGTTTCAAGATTGGAGATGTCAGCGGCATAAAAACAAATTTTTTGACTAGAGGTTCTCTCATTGGTTTATGTAGCAAGTTGCAAACATGAAAAACTTGGATTTTGAACAGCTTTTTGTTTAACGTGATACATTTTTTTTTACCGAAGTTCAAAAAATGTCAACAACGTCAAACCGTCTCCTTTTTGTCTTCTCGAATTCATTGAAATTTTTCCAAATTTCTAATCGCGGTTTTTTTTATTTTAAAATGCTAGAAATTCGATCAGTCAAAATTAAATAAAACGATTCATATGCCAATTTGAACAGAGTTTTAATAATGAACCATAAGTTCATCCCATTAACTAGCTTTTGTGAAGTTGGTCTTTTGCTCTCTTCAATATCTTTGTTTTCAAGTGTTCTTGAGCAAGTTCAGGACCTTTATTCAGGTTCTGTGTATATTGCGTTTTCTCAAGAATAAACCTAAACTAAAAATTTTTTGCACTCAAATTTTTTTGGCGGTTTGGTTCTTGAGTACTTCAATTGCGCACTCAAATGAAAAAGTTCAAAAGGCGCAAAAAATCCCGTTTTTGTGAACATTCAGTCCTAAATATGCTTTCTTCTTATGCTTTTGAAAACCAGCGAGTTTAAATTTAAACCGTACGTTTTTTACCCTTGCGATAAGCAGGGGTATTGCAATCGGGCACTAGACTTTTTTCCCGTAATCAAATTTGTCCACAGGACCCACTTGTGGACTACTTCACCTCTTCGTCCGTCCTCTTTGCAAATCACACCCCTCTCGGTTGCAAATGTTCAGCATGGTCAAATTTTTTTTGTCAATAGCCGTCTTTTATTATTTTTTGTTCCTTTTTCGGCTTAATAGGCTTCGCCTTATTTTATATCGGCTTATTGGCCTAATTTCAAGTAGTTTCCGGGAAAACATAATTTTTTTGCTCACCTTTTGGATTGCTAAAAATCTTAGAAATCTTAGAAGTTCTCGTTTTTTCACATTTTAATTTCACATTTTTTTGGCTTTTTCGTTTTTGTTTTCGGCCTGATAAGTTTCGGCCTGCATTATATCGATTTAATGGCCGCATATTGCTACTTCCGATGGGCGAAAAAAGTTTGTGTGTGCGTGTCAGTGTTTTGAGGGTGAGGAGGACTGAGTAACTTATTATTAGTCTTAAAAACTTAGTCTTTTTATATTTTTTTCTTTTCTTTGTTTTTCGACTTGATAGGTTTTGGCCTATATTACATCGGCTTAGTCGCCTCATATTGCGTCGTTTCACGAGCTGTGTTTGTGTTTTGAGGATTATGGGTTTTTTTAAAACTTTTTAGTAGTCTTCATTTTTTTCGACTTCGTTTGTTTAATTTTTTTTTGTTTCGACATAATAGCTTTCGGCCAACATTATATCGGCACATTGGCCGCATATTTTTTTATTTGACGTATGACTAAAATTTGGGTGCGTGTTTGTTTGTTTGTTGGAGAGTGTGGGGGACTGTGAGGAGAGTGTGATAGTTTGGAGAGTGTGACTTGTTGGAGAGTGTGATAGTTTTTAAATTATTTATTTTTCGGCCTAAAGGGTTCCTGCTAAGGTATTTCCGGCTTGGTTACAGCTTGATAACCTTTCTTTCGATGCTAGTTCCACGTTTTATTGTCTTGGCTCGTTTTTGATTTGAAACTAGCCTAATTGCTAGATCTAGTTTTTTCGAATTTTTCCATTTTTTTCGACTTTGATGCTTTCTTGTTTTCTTTCACAAGTTGTGCGAAGCTCAGCTTCGCCTCTGTGTGTAAACACTCACTACCTCAATGCTTCCTTCATTATAAATTCAAACTCATTAAATATCGTAACTCAATGGCGTAAAGATAACATATCTGCTTGAGACGCCAAAGGCCTGTGATTTGAATTCGGCCGGAACCAGTTTTTTCTTGCAAACTTCAGTTTTCGTGCTTTCGGACTATCGTCCGTCTTGTTATTTTTGTCGGCTTAGTTGCCTTAGCCCGATGTTTTCCGAAGAATAAGCTTCTTTTAAGTTGCTGTAACACCCATGCTTGACGATAAAGCCAGGTAGTTTGATTCCTGTCGCGGATTTTTTGCTAATCTAGATTTTAGTTCGTCTGCTTATTTTGCTGGCTTAGTTCCCACAGAAGGACGTTTTTGAAAATGCAACTTCTTTGCAGTATTTTGAAAGCTCCTTAAAAAGTTTTTATGGGGCAGTTTTTTCCGGCCTTTTGGACTATTTCTGTTTTTTTTTCCGGCCTTTTGGACTATTTCTGTTTTTTTTCAGTTTTTGATTTTTCTTTTCAATTGATTTTATTAAAGGTTATTCAATTTTGTATCGCAATTTAGTTTCAACAAATAGATATTTGGTTTCCTTGTTGATTGACACTTTTCCAGTTCCAGTTGTCTATTTGCTATGTTTATTTTCTTAGACTTGAATGCAACGTTTATCGCTATACAGGGTTGGCACGGTTAAGAGGAAAGATTTTCAAAACCGTTTTAAATACTGATTCAAAAAGATTCAAAACAAAGCTAATTTTTCGGTGTGTTTTAAAACATCAGGACGGTAATATCTTTTAACAATGGCCGGCAGATGTAAGGTTCGCAGCTATTTTTTTCAATGTGATAATCCAATCTGCCATGAAGAAAGTCTTGGTGTAGATTTTTGAAAAAAAAAGTTATTTTGAATGTGAAGAAATAAAAGAAACGGAATATGCGTAGACAGGCTGGATAGTCTTGCATAGATCCTCTGCGAATCGTAGAAACCACAATTTTTATTATTATTACTCTTAAAAAGGCGCTAAAGCTTAAATGCTTAGATCACATAAAGTTTTTACATGGTGCGACTATTTCATAGTTTTTTTTCGTTCAATCACTCACGGAGTAAGAAAAAGTTTTAACCCAGGGTGTCTTAAATTAAAATCAGGTGTCAAAGGAAAGAAGCAGTTGAGTTCAAGTGATAAGTAATAATAAAATTACTCCGGTCGTTAAACGGATTTCTAAATAAACTTGCAAAAAGCTTGAGCAGTATCAAGAATAACTGGTTTGAAATTTTCTGTTTTTTAAATCACCCGGAGGAATGAACGAGAATTTATTCCCTATCTAATTCTACTGCAAATTATTACATAGTGTTTTTTGGCAAATAGTACCTCTTTTAGCAGCTTATTATCTAATTCAATCACTCTTTTAACTTGAAAAACTAAAGAAACCAGCAATCCTTGTTATTTTTATAGGTTTATTGGCACTCAACGGCTCACATCCTGGGTGAGGCGTTAGAACTTCACTTTGGAGGCCACCTGTGTTATGGACCACCTATCGAGAGTGGCTTCTATTACGACATGCACTCGCCAGAAAGAACTGTGAGTCAGAAGGACTACGCGGCCATAGAGACTCTAATGAAGGAAATTATTAAGGCCAAGCAACCATTCGAGAGACTGACGATGAAGAAGAAAGATCTACTGGAAATGTTCGGTGTAAGAAATTTTCAGCATTAGGCCTTCTCTTAGTTTCTCTAAAATAATTTCAATACGATGATTTGTCTGATGAACTAAAAATGTGCAGCTCTAGTAATGTGGAATTTTCTTAAAGCATCCGTGTAGCCATGTTATCCTGTTTCGATGAACGTTGTGAAGAATCTTAAAAGGTGTGATTTTTTTGCGCTGTGATTTTTGATCTACTTCAGATCGTTTTCAGTGTTTGGCAAACTACAGTATACTAAAGTGTAAAGGTCACGAAGAACGATCGACGTCTAATTTCCAGAGTGGATTTTAGTATTGAGATTTCCCAGCATAATTACACTAGCGTCAGCTTAGTGTATTATTACGCTTGCGATTAGCAAGCGTTATCAAACTGCAATATAGACTTTTTTCGGGTTAACAACTTGTTTAACACAATCACTTGAATCAATTGGTATCTTAGTTCAGAATGAATTCAAATTTCAAACACATGTAGCGAATGAGAAAGAGTCATGAACGTAGTGAGTACTTTCATGTGGGTCTTGATGGTTTTTTTGCTAATGAGTAATGAAAGTAGGGAGTACTCTTATATAGGTCTTGGTGTTTTTTTTTGACTTTTTTTTCAGGAAACATTCTTAAAATTTGTTCACGCTCAATTTTGATTTTTCGGTTTGTGATTTCTTTTCAAGTTCAGTTCATTTCGATTTTTAAAACGAAGGCAAATTTTACTATCGAACAGCAAAATTGTAAAGGTCACGAAAAACGTGATCGACTTCTTATTTCAAAAATGGGAATTAATTATCAGATTTCTCAGTGAAATGTTTACCTAAAAGTGTTACCTATTGGTCTAGTTTTCTCAAATTGGGTTAATTTTAACAAAAAGTGTCCATCATAAATTGTTCTACAAATCCAAAGAGCTTTGAGGTCATCTATTTTTTCCTCGAAAAAATTCAAAAGTTGAAGATTTTTGAAAAGACAACTTATTTTTTTCAGTTTTCTTGCGTTCATTACCCTTTTCTAACTGTCAGTTGGCTATGTTATAAATATTTTTTCGTTTAAAAGCTGTATTCTGCCGAATGATTTCTGCCTATTTTTTGAGTTGTTTGAAAGGAAACATTCTTTTAATGCTCACCTCTTATCGCGCAAAATGCTAAATTTCTTAATAGAATTGAAGTTGAGTTTTTCATGATAACAATTTTTTTCGTTTTTTTTTTGATTTTTTCTTTTTTTTTGGCCTGATAGTTTGAGGCGTATATTGTCCTCTTTTTTGTCTTTTTGTAGCGAAAAAATCTGTTGGTTGTAGCTTGTGATAAACCTGGAAAATAATCTTTTGGTGCATTAAATTTTGAATGCATATTTCATTTATAGATAACAAATTACGCTTCCGTTAACAAAAGTACATATGGCGCGAGAAAGAAGGATCATTTTTGTTCCAAAAAAAGCGTTATCAAATCGGAATAAAGACCTTTTTAATAATGTTAACAACTTGCATAATTAAAGAAATTGAATCAGTTGGCATGCCTGTATGATGATTGAAATTCCCAGCAAAAGATTGTTTTTGAGTATTTCTGAATTTTAATGATCATTCCTTTCGAATTGTTATCAAATCAATGGCTGATGTTGATACTGTTTAGATGGCTCATAATTTGTAGTTTGGAGGGCTATTTTTTTAAAAAATTGCGTTTGTGCTCTTGGATGAAAACTTGGCATATCAGATTATTCAAAAGATTTTTTAGTAAGTTTTTGCTTAATTTGTCGTCTACCCAAGTGTTGTCTGCTCAGTTACCATTTGATGATGTTGTTTTTCAATACTTATTTCAAACTGGCAATTGTGTTTCTCAGTATTTTTCTTCAAATTCAACGGCCTTCGAGAGAAATAATTGTTTTTTTTATTAATCTGGCTTTTGTCCAATTTTGTTTTGCCTTAGCTGCCGTTCTTTTTTTTATTTTATGGCAAGTGGCGCAAACCTCTGTTTTGCTTCTGTGACTAGAAAGTGTCAAGGTAATATATTTTTTCACGTTGATAAACAAAGAGATCCAAGGCAATATATTTCTTCTTTAAAAATTATTAGAATTAGTTTTTCGTTCCTTTAGCTAATTAACAGTTTTCCTATTGTCTTTTGGCTGTGTTTTCATGCGAAAATGAGTTTCATTCGCTTATAATTATGCGTATTACAGTGAACAATTGATCTAAGAAAATCTGTACGAAATTGAGCTTTGTTTATTGTGAAGTATCAAATAACTTAGTGTAATGATATAGCAACTGCTCGAAGCACCACAGATTCCGAATATTTAAAGAATTTTTATATATATTTTTTCATCTTTCTATGGCTTTTCATTATCTTTCCTACAAGATATCTTTCTATTTTTGGGTGTTTCTAATTAAGAGCGAGTAAGACGATAAGGTTAAGTTCGTTTCATAAAAATTGATTTTTTAGGCTAAGAAAACTTGATTTTGTTTTGGAAGATTTTTTGAGCGCTTCTGGCAATAAATGTGTTCACAAAAAACTCATGTGCAATTTTACTTGCAAAATTTATTTTGCAAAGTTTGTTGCCAAGTTCGTTTTTTAAAGTGTTAATTCATATTTCGTCTTTCAATTTCGAGGACAAATGTTGCCGATTATGCCTAATTCATTAACTTTTTACTCGTTTGTATAGTTCTCTCATCGCACAAAAAACAACACTAGTTTGAAGAAGAAAAAAATTGTTCGTGTAGTTTTTTTATGAATGTGGTCGGAACATTGTGCTTCTTGCACAACAACCGGCTATTCTTATTACACTTGCGATAGCAAATGTGTTGCTACCGGGTACTAGACATTTCCCCTTATGAACTTTGTGCACAGCTTTCAGCAGTTACATGCAAGAATTAATTGCGACCTACCTGTGCTTATTGGTTGATTATGCCACTCTGCGTCCTTGATAGTTATTTTCCAATAAAGTCGCAGTTCAAACTCAAAAAATGAAATATCCTAATTTTTTTGTTTTTTGACTTCGACGCTCTCGATTTTTTTGTCTTATTGTTTTCCGCTTTTTTACAAGCCCTTGCATCGCTTATTGGGATGTTTTTTTATGAGGTAAGAACGCTGAATGAATTCTCGGACGTCAGCTCAATCAAACGTACAGTTGTAAACTGTTTATTCAACGGTTTTTTGATCAAATTTGTCGTCTTTAATGCTCACTTTTTTCAATGATCTCATAACTGTTTATTGAAGTTCTTAAATACCTTTTTTTCTTGAGTTCACGGTTTTTTTACACGCCAAAACATTCTGTTATAAAAACAGAATTTTCAGTATTAAATTCTCAGTTTTTTCAGTATTAAATTCTCAGTTTTTTCGGATTCATGGTATCTAATTTTTTGTACTGAAAATGCATGGGTTTAGTTTTTTTATTTTGTGGTTTGTTTGATATTTAAACAATTTCACCGCATATTTTTCGAAAAAATTCATCAATTTCCACAAAAAAATCGAACGATAGTCAAGAATGTGTTTTTGTTCCGATTGAATTTTAAAAAATGCATTTTCATTATTTTTATTTCTTTAACGGGAGTCATTTTTGGTGCAATTTTTTAATCAACTTTTCATATGTGCTAAGTTTGATACAATTGGGTTATTTTTCAGACTGTTACCCAGTCTGAAAACGTAATTCAGACTGTTACCCAGGTCGTGATGTTTTTTTTTCAATTTTACTTATTGATCCAATTTTCTCAAATTGGGTTAATTTCATTAAATGTTGATCATAAATCTTTATAGAAATTTAAATAGTTTTAATTCCATCTATTTTTTTGTTAGATTTTCGAAAGTTGAGGTTTCTTCAAAACAACTAGTGTTTTTTGATTACTTGCGTTTATTGACTCTCTTCCAGCTGTCTGTTGGCTATGTTCTTAGGTTTTTGGCAAGTTGTTTTCTGTGGCAATTCTTTGAAACTTTTGCATTCATTTTTTGAAAATTTTTTTTAAAAAAAGTTTATTTTGTTTTGAGCAATCAATTAATAGGGTCTTTTCTGCAACGGATAAACTTTCTTCTAGAAAATACAGGTTGTTTAGTGTGATGATTTAAAGCAAACTTTTTGCATTCATTTTGGAAATTTTAGATAGTATGGTCCAGTTTTTGATCGTTTCCATCTTGTTATGAGAGAAGTGATTGTGTAGCCCGAATCTTTTACGCTTGCGATTAGCAAGCCTTATCAAATCGGAATATAGACTTGTTTTTTTCTAGTTAACAACTAGTTTAACAAAATCAGTTGAATCAATTATGCTGACATGCTCAGTTTATTGAAAATTCAAATTTAGCTACCGGGTACTACTCTTTTTGTATGTATTTTTTATAGAACTGTGCCTAATGGTTTTCTGCTGATGATTTTTTCGGCTACATGGTTGTCGGATTAGTTTTCAAATTATCAAGTTCCTGTTTGATAAAAACAGGTATTATGAAAATGTATGGATTTAGCTTTTTTTGTTTTTGGCAAGTCCTCTCCTTCTCCTGTATGCCTGCATTATCCCTCTGTCTCTTTTTGTTTTTACTTCACTTTCTACAAACTTCGAAAAAATGCGTGCGGGGGGGGGGGGGGGGGGTTGATCCATACTTTTACAACATTTTCTCACATTTTGGTTGCATCAAAGAGAACGAGTCGCGAGAAGCTTCCCTGCATAAGCGACTGCGCCCAAGTTTTTTTACGCTCAAATATTTTGGCCCTCGAGTTTCGATTTTTTAACTGTTTTGTCACGTTTCAAATAATTTAGTTTTTCTCAAACATTACTCAGCTGATTTTCAAAACATTGGTACCAATGGAACAACCGCTCACTCACCTGTGTGCCTGCATAGTTCCTTAAATTTTTTCCCTTACATTCTACAGTCTTCTAAAAAGTGTTAGGGGTGAATTTTCGACCAAGGATTTTGAGTTTTTGATTTTCTCGAAAACTACCAACCCAAATCTGAAGAGGTTGGGTTGAATGGATGGAGAAAGTTGTTTAAAATACTCTGCATAGGCGGCTACACCCAAAGTTTTTTATACAAAAACTTAATGGCCCTCGGAAAAGTCAAAACTTTGATTTTTGAACCGTCTTTTCAAGTTTTCTGACTTTAATCGAAAAATACTCTTCCAAATCTGAGTTTATGGGATCAATGGAAAGAACAGGTTATGTGGAGCCTCCTTGCATAAGCGGCTCTAACCAATTTGTTGACATAAAAAGTTATGGCCCTCGGAAAGTCAAATTTTTGAATTTTTGACCGATATTTTTTTTTTGAAAACTACCCTCCTAAATCTGAGTTTTCTTCAGTCACTCGAAAGGACGGGTTGTGGAAAGCTCGCCTGCTTAAACGGCGATGCCTTAATCTTTGAAAAACGTTGAAAGTTTTGACGGAAAAACGGAAAGTGATTTTTTCCGTTTTTGAAACTTTTTACTTATTTCAAAAACTACCCTCAAATCTGAGATTTTTGGTTCAATAGAAAGAACGAGTCGTGAGAAGCTCTCCTGCATTAGCTGCTACGCCCAATTTTTTGTAAATTAGAAGTTCTGGCCATCGGAGATCTCAAAGTTTCGAATATTGACCTTTTTAAAAAAAAAAACGACCTAATTTCCCGAAAACTACCCTCCCAAATCTGAGGCGGCGAAAATATGTAATCATAATCGCACGTTGCTTAACCGGACCTTTTCCCCGCTTTTTGACTTTTAAGAGTTTGTTATTTCAGTAATTTTCAAAGTAATTGATGGCTCATTTTTAGTTGAAAATGAGCCATCAACTAGTGAGTTGTGCAATTTTTGCTAGCTTCGATTTCTTATATCCCCCGTTTTCACATCAGTACGTGTTCTTAGAAAAAATCAAAAGAGTACTTTCAGCTTCAGCCGGTCTCTAATCTACTTTGCATACGCACACTGATATATCTATCGTGGAATGTTTTTTTTTACTTAAGTTTCAGCTTATTGGGTGTCGGCTTCAATTCTAACGGCGTATTTACCGATTTTTTTCTTAGAGTGTAGTACTTTTCAGGTCGATAAGATTATGACACCAGTATTTGACTGCCATAATTCAATCCCACTAGGACCTCTTTAAAAAACTTAATTAAATTCAAACACGAAAGAAATGCATTTAAAAAAAAATTAATTGTTTTTCCAATTCCTTCTTCAATAGTAACATTGTTCGAAGCTGTGTTTGCTGATTTTTTTTAGCCGCTTGGTGCACTCATCATCTTATAATTGTTGTATCGCAAGTGTTGTGAAGCTCAGCTTTGCCTCTGTGTATGTTTTGGGTAATTGATTTCTATAAGAATTGAAATAAGATTTTTCTTGATTTTATTACCTACGTTTTCTTCAACAGATTTTTTTTTATTTTTTACTTCTCATTTGAGGCAATATCTTTTGAAATTTGGCGTTTTATTTGTATCGCAATTGGTGCAAAGCTCAGGTTTGCTTCTATGCTACGCTTGTAGTTCTCCTATAAAATTGTTGATTTTTTGTTTTTCAAAGTTTTTTCATCTTCAATTTCGACCTGAAATAGTTCAATGCTCTCGATATTGATTTCATCTGCCGGCAATTTTTTTAAGTATATAAATTTTGCTCTGTTTTCGTGTAGTACAACGAGTTCAAGTGTCGCATTTTGAACCAAAAAATAAAAGAAGACGAGACAACAGTGTACAAGTGTGGGGATCTCATCGACCTCTGCAGGGGACCCCACGTGAGACACACGGGCAACATCAAAGCATTCAAGATCACAAAGGTCAGTCAGACTACCAATCGTTTTCCATGTTGATCATAAAGGATTTATTTAACATCGCCGAGTGTCTGGCCTGTAGATGAATTGCAGGTACGCGAATATATTGCAGTAGTTTTGTGAATTTGCTGGTATTGAAGCGAACATAGTTAATATATACGCTTCAAAATTTCTTAGCTTCTTCGGCACACTTGATTACTACACCTGGGACTGCTAAGGTTGTCGGTTCGAATCTGGCCTGGACCAGTTTTTTAAAACGTGAAATAATGGATTTCAAAAAAATTGTCGGTCAATGTGTGTCTGCTCATGTTTTAACGGCTGAAATGTCAGATCATGTATTTGCTATACCTAAGGCAAGCTATTTTCATTGTAATTGAAAGCGTTTTTGGTTTATTTGTGTAATTTTTAACTACTAATTCTGATTTCTTTTATTTTTTTTTTGCTTGAAAGCTTTATATGGCCTTAATTGTTTCAGTTTTTGTTTTATCGGCTAAGTGACCTAATATTGCTTGTTTGAAGACAAAAAATGTTCATCCTTTGTGTCTTTCCGAAGGGGAGGGGAGCGTAAAAGATGGAATTTCTCAAGTTTCAAAAGTTTTTCATGACAGCAATTGTTTTCGGCTCAACGGGAATTTACCCATTATTTGCCAGCTGATCGATAAATGTTTCAAATAATTACTTAATGCTGGCGATGGTGTATCTGGACTAGGTTTTCGAAATTTTTTGGAAAGAATTTTTTTTCGATGTATTGGTTTTCCTTTTCGTTGCTGTCTGCTAGCTTGTCCTATCATGTTTGTGTGAGAAGGCTCTTTTTGCAAACGACAGACGTATATATGCTTTGTTCATATGAAATTGGTACTGGCTGTAGCGTTTTGGGTGTTGTAAGTCCATAAAATTGTAACCTGAGATCCAGTTGTCGATGAACGAAGTTTGTTTGATTCAAAAAGAATTGTTTACGCTCGAATTTGTTCAAGTTCGATGAAAAAAAATGGTGCGAAAAAAGATGATTGAATTTCAATTTCAAAAGTTGAGTTTAATTCTTTTAGATATATATTGCGGAATAAGAAAATTAACCTTAGTTTCATCACAAAACAGTTGACCATGAAATATTCATGAAATTAAAAGAGCATGAAGTTGAAATATATATTTTTCAAAACACCAAAATTAATTATTTTTCAAATAATTTTTTTGATCTCCGAGCTCATTGACAATCTGCCACCGTCTTGATGCGATGTTTTAATAATTATATCACGGCACGATTTAACTTTGTAAATAACAATTTCATGTAGTTTTTTATAGAGTTCTTCCTCGTTCTGGGAGGGCAATGCGGAGATGGAAACGCTTCAAAGGGTGTATGGGATCTCGTTTCCGGACAAGCAACAACTGAAGGAGTATGAGTTCATGATTGAAGAGGCCGCCAAAAGGGACCACAGGAAGATAGGAAGAGTGAGTGAGCTGTATAAGATAAAATTGTAGCGAATTTGTGATCAGTCGCTCGAAAAATTATTTTTATCAGTAATACGAAGAGGCAGATGAAGTTTGCTTCGGTATGCTCAAATTTACATTTTTTTTCATTCGTCATTTTGATTTTGCTACATTTCAACCCTTTTCTAGCTTGCTATTTAAAAATAACCCCAGATTCAAGCATGAATGCTGGATCGAGGGTATTTAGTTTAAGTTAGGAAAAAAAACCTGCTGGACTTGAGAGAGAAAATCAACCTCATTCTAAGTTGGTCCAAGTTTTATTAATCTGATAGTTTGGGATGCTTTTAGGAACAGGAGCTCTACTTTTTCCACGAATTATCTCCTGGCAGTGCCTTCTTTCACCCAAAGGGAGCTCACATCTACAACACACTCGCCGACTTCCTCAGAGTTAGTGCAGAATGGCTAGTAGAGTTGTTTAAGTGTCAATGTACGAAGTGTCTCAAAAAGTCTTGTAAGTTATCTACGCTTAAATTTGATTTTTTTTTGCGGTTTGGTTTTTGGCTCAATTTATATTCATTTGCTAAAAAGGAATCAAACTCTCGACTCGAAATAGCAAATGGCATGAAAAAAGATTTTGGGGAGCTTAAGCTTCAAAAGGTGATTTTTATTAAAAGATTTTCCAGCTGAATAAGAAATTTATCTGTCGATTGTTTTTATTACACTAGCCAACTTTATTGAGCGTTATTGTTTTACTAAGACTATTCTTTTTTTTCCAACCTAAGTTGCAAATATTGGTGCCATTTTTGAGGCACCTTAACGGCTTCTTGAAAGCATGTGCTTTGACATTCGAATATTAATAAGTTAACAAAGTTGATAAGTTGAAACAACATAAGAAAAACTCGATTTCAGAAATTTTCTATCTCAATATCTCGCAATTTTTTGAAATGCATAAGTTATTTATAATGTGGTTTTATGCTTTCCAATTAATTACATGCAAGATTATTGTGGATGCCCTCAGTTTGTTATAGTCCAATCTTTTACTTTGCTATAGTCCAAAATTGTGTCTGTTTATATTTGGTGTCACTTTTGCTGCATGGCATTGGCTATTTGTTAGCAAATGCAGCTGCTTTGTTTGTGAATAGTGTTGCAGATTAAGCGTTCGTGTCCGAGAGGTCAGGAGTGAGACTTCAATTCTCGAGGTCGCAGGTTCGCAGCCCTTAGGTGGCAAAGTCTTACTTATTCGAGGCTTATTTCTACATTTTCTTATTTGACTTTAAAATGCTGCTTTTTAGTGTTCTTGCTAGTGTTTGCGAAGCATAGCTTTGCCTCTGTGTTTAAATTTAAGTGACTTTTTATAAAAAAAAACGTCAATATAAAAGATTCTTGGATTGCAATGAGTTTTTTGGTTATAAGTTTTTTCTTTATAACTGTTGAAAATTGTATAAAAAATTAATTTATTTGGGCTTTTTTGAGCGAATTTTAACTTTTACAACAGCGTGTTGGCTATATTTTGTTAAAATAAAATACGAAAAGGTTGATCAGACATTACTAAGTCAGAGGAGCAATATGGGCCTCTTTTAGCAGTCAAATCAGCTAATTGGAATGTACTACCTATGCTATAATTGAACCACTTTTTGATGTTTTATTTGTTGCACTAGTTCGGTATTAGTGTTTGCAAAGGCTTGCGAGGGGTTCCATAGCCTTTTTTTAAGAGTCGATGGACGTAGTTCAGACCCAAGTTTTGAAATTTGTTCGGGCTCAAATTTACTTTTTTGTGGTTTGATTTCTTTGTAAGTTCACTTCAATTTCTTTGTTAAAAGGAAGCAAACTGCACTATCGAAAAGCAAAAGTCTAAAGGTCACGAAAAACGTGATCGAATCTACTATCGAATGTGGAATTTAATTTTCAGATTTCCCTGCGAATTAAAAGTTTTACTTATTGATTCGGTTTTCTCAAATTGGGTTCATTTTGTCAAAAAAGTCCCAATCAAAAACTTATCAAGTTTTTCCAAAAATTCAAGAACTTTAAGGGCATCTGTTTTTCTTTCTTTAAGTTCGAAAAATGCGGTTTTTTCAAAGACAAGTTTTTTTTTCTGTTTACTTACGTTCTTTGACTCTTTTCCAGCTGTCTGTTGGCTATGTTTTCCGTTTTCGAGTTTATTGACACTTTTGTCTGTTGGCTATATTTTGAAAATTAGTCGTAGATAAATTAAACGCTTGCATGATGTTTTAGTTTAATAAACAAAAGATGTTAACTTAATAACTAAAAGTCATTTCAAGGGAAGCTTTTGAAGACTCGAAGAACCTAAATTAGGATTAAGGAATTGTCTATATTGTCCATTAGCTTTTGATATTATAATTTTCATTTGTGTATTACAGTGGAATTGGTGTTATAGAAAGTACAGAAAAAAATAATGGATGCTTATGCTTTTCTAATTTATTAAGATGCAAATTACTTAAAATATTATGTTAATATTTTTCTTAGAGCTTAGTTTTGGTTTTAGAAAGAGTACAGAAAGCGAGGTTTCCAAGAAGTGATATCACCAAATATGTACAACAGCAAACTGTGGATGACGAGTGGGCACTGGAAGCACTATGCGGACGATATGTTCCAGATAGACGTGGAAGAGCAGAAGTTTGCCCTCAAACCCATGAACTGTCCAGGCCACTGTGTCATGTTCGGAATGCGCTCCAGGTTATTATAGATCTTTTGCGCTAGTAAGTTAAGGTTCATTGCGTCAAAAAATACGCGAAAGCATGTCGAAGAAACGGCTTTTTGAAAAGTTGTTCTTATTAACCCAACAAATCCAGCTAGACTGACTGATACATTTCACTGGAAACTCAGCATAAGTTGTGACAGAATATTACAAACATGGTCTACAGATTATCATTGGCGCGATTCCTGGGTAGGAATAAACATGATGTTTGCAAAGGTCATGGAGAGAGCTGCCACTAAGGATGGCCGACTTCGGAGTGCTACACCGCAATGAGTTATCAGGTGCTTTGACAGGACTGACCCGAGTGAGACGATTTCAGCAGGATGATGCACACATATTCTGCACTCCAGAGCAGGTCACCTAAAAAAATTCATGTGGAAAATGACAATAATAAGCGCGTTTCGTCCGGTTAATTTAAATCAGCACTGTATGTGCTATTTTTGAGTTCATTGAAATTCATCTGCTGAAAGTGACGTAAATAGCACTCTCCAAATACGAACGTTGAAATGACGCGGAAAAACCGTGAACTTTCTAGTTTCTAAAGTGGAATTTAATTTTCAGATTTCCAATGGAATAAAAGCTTTACCTGTTGATCCATTTTTCTCAAATTGAGTTAAATATTATCGGAAAAGCACCAATCATAAATTGTTTTTTAAAAATTCAAAGACTTTAAAGGGCTTTTTTTCTTAGAAATTAGAAAGTTGAGATTTTTTCAACCGAGCCGATTTTTTTTTGCTATTCTTTGATTTTTTTCTTGTTCATTGAAAACCTTCGTAGTTTTTTTTTGTTTTCAACTAGTTTATGTGCATTTGGCGCAGTGGTAACACCATACCTGATACGACAAATCCCGGATGTTCGATTCGAGTCGGGAGCTGTATTTTTGTGGTTTTTCGACTAGTTTATACTTTGATGTCTGCTAAGACTTTTTCGGCTTTGTTCGCGCTGAAAGGTTCGTTTTTTTTCCTAGCAATTTGAAAGCTTTTTGTACAGTTTCTATTGGTGGAGGTAATTTTGTTCCAGGAACTGTTCTCTTTTTATAACTTTTTGAAAAAAAAACGTTTAATTGTCTCAAATTGTGTTTTTTTAATTTAATCAAAGAAAATTTCAATCATAAATTTTTCTTGAAATTCTAATAGGGTTAATGTCATACATTTTGTACGTTGAAATTGAAAAGTTGAAGTTATAAAAAAAATTAAGTCGTTTTTTGCGTTCATTGACTCTTTGCCAACTGTCTGTTGGCTATGTTTGAATATAGCGAACCCTATCAATTGATTTTCCGTATATCTAAGCAACCACAATTTGGACTCTGCATTAGATTGCACTTTCTGCTCTATGCTAAAGGTGAAAGGAGAGATAGAGGCTGCTTTAGACTTCATGTCTTTCGTGTACACCAAATTCGGCTTCACCTACAAACTTTTTCTGTCCACTAGACCAAAAAAGTACATGGGCGAAATCAAGGACTGGGACGAGGCAGAGGCGGTAAGTCATCTTTTAAACTCAGAAAGTCCAGCAGCTGAATTATTTTGTCGATTGTAAACAAGGTAAACTTGCTTAAATTTGTTTTTCATAAATGCTCGGAAAAGTCGGGGTCTACATCAGCCATACTCATTTCAAAACACTACTTCTGTAATTTATCATCTGCCGCCTTATTGCCTATTCTTACTCATGGAAAGCCGCCGTCGATTACTTCGGGAAAGTGAACTTCTACAAATGATGAGCAGTCACATACCTCATTTGTGTTAAATAGCAATTAAAAGAAGCCTTGGACTCGCATTGTGCTGGAGCGGAGGGTGGGGAGGTGAAGTGGACTCTGAACCCGGAGGACGGGGCATTCTATGGGCCCAAGATCGACATCCACATTCAGGACGCCATGAAAAGGGACCACCAGCTGGCCACCATCCAGCTAGACTTCCAACTCCCTAAGAACTTCCAGCTGGAATACGTCAAGTAAGCAAGAAAGAAAAAAGATTTAACACACTTGATCCAAATGCAATTCAACGTTGAACCAGAGGGGCGAATAAAAGGACCATTCTGTCGCTGGACAGTGCCCTGCTTTTTCTGAAGATCAATGGGAAACAAGTTAGATTATTCGAACCAATTTATGACATTGTACAATTTTTTACAGTTAGCTCGTTAAATTTAAACATTTGAGCAATTTTTCTCTATAGCAAGAGCACTGTATGTTAACAATTCATCTCAGTTCTTAAAAATTAGACCAACTGCTGTCATAGGCACATCAAATAGGCACGTCTATCGACAGGTTACAAGCAGGTTAAGATGAACATGTTATAAGCAGTTGGAGTAGAAAAATAGCGTCAGAGCAGGCCTGCTGCGTTAGTATTGTTGATTAGTTGGAGAGAATATGTACGGACTCATTCATTTTCTGACTGACATGCTCAATATCTTGAAATTTGAAGTAAAACTACCACTTTTAAGTAGCAATTATTTGAAGCCCCTTACAGGTTGTATTTATTTTCTTAATAAATTTTCTCAATTTTTCGGGTTCGTGGTTGTCGGCGGTTCATTTTCCGTTTTTTTTTTTGAAACGGCATTTTGAAAATCTGGTTGGGTTAGTATTGGGAAACGGCGTTTTAAAAGGGTTCCTATTTAAAACATGGGTTTCGTTCCAATTTAAACAGTTTTTACTATAACTCAAAGTTCAAAAACTTGTAAATTTACCAAGTCTGATTTTTTTTTCAAATACTTAATCAGTGTCTCTATCAACTTAGTAAAATTAAATTGCGTAAATTCGAGGGCACAGTATTTCTTTGGCAACAGTTTTTTTCGGCTCAGCAGGTTTCGACCCAAAGTTTGTCGCCTTTGTTGCCGCTCGGTTAATAATTTTTAATTTTTGAAGGCTCTTTTTGAGCTTCATCCGATACAAAGATGAAGATTCTGTAGCTGTAATATATGAAACTTTTCAAATGTTTTTTCCAAATTTTCCCGATATATTTTTACTTCCATTCACTATCTTGTAGCGCAGTGTGTTTTTTGCGTTGCAAGTGTTGTGAAGCTCCGCTTCGCCTCTGTTTCATAATAATAAGCATAAATCGAAAGAAAAATGTCTAAATTGAAAATAAAAAAACTGTGTTTCGAATTTTTCAATTCTGCGATTGCGTTTTTAAGAGTCGATAGACTAAGTTTAGACTCTTATATAGGTCGTGATTTGTTTTGGCTCAAATTTAATTTGTCAAGGTTGACTTTTAATATTTTTCAAGTTGAATTCATTTTCTTTGTTAAAAGGAAGGCAAAGTCCACTATCGAACATTAGAACTGTAAAGGTAAAGAAAAACCTGATCAACTTCTACTTTCAAAATTAGAAATTGATTTTCAGATTTTGCTGCGAAATAAACTTTTTTATCAATCCAGTTTTTTTTTCAAATTCTGTTAGTTGTAGCAAAAAAGTGTCAAAATTTAATTGTTCTTGAAATTCAAAGGCCATCTATTTTGAAATTCAAAGGCCATCTATTTTGTCTTTGAAATTCGAAAGTTCGGATTTTTTTTTTAAAAAACAGTCAGTTTTTTTTACTTGCGTTCATTGACTCATTTCCAATACTCTGTTGACTATGTTTTGAACTTCCATCTATCCGAAGTTTCTTTCTCTTTCGCGAATTGTTTTCTTAAAAAGCAATCGAACAAGTTAATTATGTAATTCAGAGTCAATCAACACAGCGAACATCCTTAGATAGCTCGTGATTATATTTTTAGTTAGTTTTTTTTTCAGGAATTTCAGAGGTTCGAGTTTTGATTTATTTCAGATGATTTCCTTTGTTAAAAGAACGGCAAATGCTCAATCGAACAGAAAGAGTGTAAGGGTTTCAAAAAACGTTACGAAGCGGAATTTAATTTTCAGATTTCCCAGCTTTATAAAAACTGTACCTTATTTTTCCTTGACAATGAAAAGCTGAAAAATATCAAATAAGAACCAAATCCTTTTCCGTTTCTTTGGGCTCTAACACTTTTTTAATATTCGTCTGCCTTGCTTATTGCTTTGCCGATGATCAGCTCGGTTAAACCTTGGTAATTATACCTTGATTTTTCAACGCAGCTTCAGCTATTGCCGATTATCATTGCTGTGTTGTTTAGTCACGACAGTGGACTGTCGCGTCCCGTCATCATCCACAGAGCCATTTTGGGCTCGATCGAGCGGTGCATCTCAGTACTGACTGAGCAGTTCGCTGGCAAATGGCCTTTCTGGCTATCTCCCAGACAGATTATGGTGGTGTCAGTGGTCAGCTCAGCCGCCCCTTATGTGGAAAATGTGAGTCGCGAAAAGTTACAAATGAGCTCCCAAAATGGTTTGCTGTCTCTTTTCAATAATTGTTTGAGTTTTATTAACTCTTGATTTTTTGTACCCTGTTTGATATTTTTAACCCACTACCCTATCACTTAATTTCGAGTAGTAATATAGATAATTTCTTAGGAATGTTTTTCAGTGGTCCCTCGATCGAACTTTGTTCCTGGTCGTGACACTGATGTTGTTATTTTTTGTGTAGATCAGGAAGACGTTGTACGAGCAAGGCGGCTTCGAGTGTGAGGCGGACGTGGAAGGGGACACGGTGCAGAAGAAGATCAGAAATGCGCAGATCGCACAGTTCAACTTTATCCTTGGTAAGAAACAAACCATTGGTTAAATTTCGTAAATTTTTAAATATAGTTTCGAGTACCAACCGGATCGTATTTTTCTTCAATGTGTGTAAAACTTAACTATTGTTTAAGAGTCATTAACGTAGTTAATACTCTTAAATAGATGCTGGTGATTTTTTTCTTTCTAATTTATTTCAGAAAAAATCCTAAAATCAGAAAGTCTCGAAATAGTTTTTGTTCAAATAGTTCAAATAGTTTTATAAAAAATATTTTATTCGACATAGTTGCTACCCTCTTATTTCCTGTCTGCTAATTCACAACTTTGTGGTTATGTTTAGCCTGTTAATCTGTTTTTAAAAATAACAATCCTTGAAATCATAAGGTTTAACCGATACACCTTTGATCTGAAATCAATTGGGTATTCGTTCATGAGTTCGGCAAATATCTATTTGAAAGCCTTAAAATGCTAATATTGATTTAAAAGCCTTGAAATGGTGAGTTATTGTTTAGTTCTAATGTCTCTTTATGTTTTGTTTAGTGTGTGGCCAGAAAGAGGTGGACTCGAACACTATCAATGTGCGCACTCGAGACAACAAAGTGCACGGGGAATTCGCTCTGAAGGAACTAATGCGTCGCTTCTCCTTCCTCAAAGACACCCAATCTCTCAACGCAGAGGAGGAGTTCCTCAACGTTCCCCCTGGGACACCTGAGGGAACATCTTCCTCCTCATGATGATGATCATGATATTCACACTTAATTTAAGTCACATCTTATCCAAGTTAAGAGGCTTTGGGCTTTGAGGAAACTGCTGAGAATTTAGGAAAATCGTAATTCTTAAAGTGAAGGGGGTTTGATTTTGGTTAAATGAAAATAACGCTAGTGGATTGAATAACAGATCATTTTTGCTGCCAAGAGGAAAAATTCTTCGGTTCGCGATCAAACACATTTAATTTGATCGTGAGTTTTCCAGTGTGTAGCATCTTTTATAAAATCCAGTTGTTATTTTTGCATCAAATACTTATTTTTCGCAGCTGCAAATGTGATCGATTTTGAAACATCTAGCTCCAAGGTTCATTCAAGGGGTCATGTTATTTGATTAGTTTGTATTCCAAAAGTTGCTCCGATCGAAAATAGGTTATTTGAGAGATGGTTGTTGTGTGATAATTTGTACTTGAACTTAATTGAGTAAATACGATATAGATGCTTGTGAGAGTGGATGTGGAAATGGTTGAACCCGGTGTTAAATTACTAACTAACTTTTGTTGATATGGAAATTGATGGGCGGCTTTGTCCTATGCGCCATTATGGGAAGTGTATACATTGGTTTTTAGCGATTATGCCGTCTTTCCTTGATTAAATTTGTAAAGGCTTTGCAGCCAACGCTTTAATGGGCTAAATATAAATTGTTATAAAAATCTGTTTTGTTTTACTGAGATCCATGTTCATGAAAATTCTGCCTCAATTACTATCCATTTTTTTTCACTACGTCAAAAAATTTCGTTTAAGCGATAAAGAAACTGGAATAGCCTAGTTGCAGCAGCACCTGAATTTTTTCCATTAGAGTCCTTGTTATGGTTTCGATTAGCAAGCGTTATCAAATCGGAATATAAATTTTGTATTTTTAACAAAATCATTTGGTGAAGTTTGTGATTTCGTCAAAAACAGATATATTTTGAGCATATTTGATTTTTATATGCACAAATAAATTTCAAATTTTATTTTTGTTTGTTGTAAGCTAGCCCAACGATTTGGTTCATTGCAGGTTTTTGTTCCGACCATTGAAAATGGGGAATTTTTGTGTTCCGGTGTGTTTTAGTTTTTTTTCTTTTTGTTTTCCACGCAAAATCAGGTACCACAAATAATCTTTGGACTGGGTTGAGTGATATATCATATTAAAGCCCTTTCAGTCGTGATTCGAACCACAATAAAAAATTCCCCAAAATTTTCTGAAGTGTCGAGAAAAACCAGTTTAAAATTTTTGTCTTTTCGTCTTATTTCGAGCGAATAAAGCAAGCGAACTATGCCTAATTTAAGACCTTGAAACATTATTTTAAGCAAGCAAAATTAATTTTTTGGAGTTTTTTTAACCTTAGTTTTTGGAAAAATTCACAATAACAACTTTATACTTTCGATTCTTTTGGATCACGACCCATGAGTGACAATCATTTAATTCTTTCACCCTTCAACATTTTTTCTTTCAATGACGATATAAATGCTTGAAAAAAAAAGTTTTTTTTTGTTTTTCTAGTCATTTTTCTGCTAATTTTTTTGTCAAATTGCGTATATTTCTATGACTGTCTAATATGCCTAAATTTTGTTTTTACGTCAGAATTTTTTATCACACCCAGCAGAAAAAAACACTAATTTGGACAAAAATTTTCTAAACCTTAGTTTTCTAAAGGCTATCTGTGCTACTTGCACAGTAATTCGCTATCCTTTTTCAATTTATTTTGTTTTTTTTTGCTTCTTTCGTTATTACACTAGCGTATTATTAAGAACCTTCTTTTTTTCTAACCTAAGTCGCAAATATTGGTGCGACCTTTGGGGCAGCTTTACAGATTTTCGATATGATTTTTTTGACATTCGAATAGTAATGAGTTAGCACACTTGATGCATTTTTAATTCATCAAATGAACCCAAAAAAACTGTTTTTTTCTAGACACATAACAATCATGAAAACTCGATTTCAGAAATTTTTTTTACATAGCAATATATATTGCAATTTTTCGAAATGCATATTTTATACTTAATGTGGGTTTATGCTCTGCGATTTCAGGCTAGTGTTTTGTTGCCGGTGTTAAAGCGTGCGTGGCTGAGTGATTAGTGCGCGAGACTCGAAATCTCTAAGTCGCAGTAGGTCGCAGATCGAATCCTACACCTAGCCTATTTTTTTAGTAATTTGAGGCCTGTTTCTATTTGTTCTTATTGGACTTTCTAGAGCTGATTTTTGTAGTGATCTTGCTAGTGTTTGCGAAGCGAAGCTTCACCTATTTGTAAAATTATCCGCTTATAGTATGTCACCTTAGATGACCCATATCGCGTCGTTTAATGACAAAAAATGTTGAAGTGTGAAAGAATTAAATGATTGTCACTCATGGGTCGTGATGATTTTTTACCTTCTTTTCAGTGCACTGTCAAATCTGATTTATTGCGGTGGTTTGACATCTGATTTTTAAAGAATCAATGAACAAAGTGAAGACTCGTACATAAGGTCTTGATGATTTTATTTTGTTTGCTTTTCGGTCAAGGGATTGGACTATTCCCTCACTTCAACTGGCTACTTGTATTTAAATTGCGCAATTGATCGAAAAAAAAAATTGCACAGCTGTTAATTTGTTACGCTCCTATAGTAATTACGATCAGTAGCGTCTTTCAAACTGCTGCTTTTTTACGAAGCTGTGTTTTTGGTCCAGTGATCAGTGTGTGTATGACCTTAAAAGTGTTAAGCGCAATCGTACGACGGTATTTAGAGCTATATTATATTGCCATTTGGGTTGCTATAGAAATTGCTCTATCAACGGTTACGGTTATTTTTCTTCCCATTCTTAAACACATTCATAAGACTGAATTCAAGCTGCCTCTAATTTGCAATCTTTTTGTGTACTTTTTATGAATTTAATTCCTGATGAGTGGTATCAGAAAATATAAGATTTTTTGTCTGCTTCTTTTCATTTGATTTCATGCTCATTTTTTTTTAAATCTAGCATTTATGTATGGTATCATTCTTTTTATTAAATCACATTGTGTTTAGTGATGGCAGACGAAGTTTTTTGCCATCACTTCATCGGCTGAATTGGCTATGTTTACCTTTCGAATAGTCTGTAAAAAATTTAATTTGAGTTCTTTTCTGGTTATTGAAAAATTAAATCTATTGATTCGGTTCATGGTGATATTTGGAGGCTTTGTTTAGCAATCAAATAGCAAATGGTATTAACAAAGAAGCTAAATAGCATACACCTGTCCGCTTATTATCAAACGGGCTTTATTTTAGCCATCCTTGAACTTTAATCTTCCTTTAACCTTGTTTGTACAGTTGTCGGCAAAATATTCCGATATTTGATATTTGCTGATCGCTCAGCTCTTACGAAAAACACAATCATTTTGTTACTTCAATTTCAGATTCTTACTTGAAAAAAAATGACCCCGGTCAAAAAGAGCAATTTAGATAACTTGTCGCAAAGCGTTTCCATGAATTTGAGCAACTTGGCAAAACACAAACACTCCGTAAGTACTTTTTAATTTCTACATCGGAAATGTATTTATGTGAACTTTCGCTAGTTATCAACCTATTTCTTTTCATAAATCTTGACTACAGAAAAGGAACAAAAATGAATGTCGATGAGGATGGATTTGATCAACATAAGATAAATTTGTGAATTTGATCAAACAGTGATAAATTTGTGATTTTATTTGATAAACTATAATTTTTGAAGACGTATAGTTAGCTATTTTAATTAGTATGCTTTTTTATTGATCACTCCTGAAGAAAGACGAGCTTCTGATCATAAAATATTTAAATTGTGCCCATTTGCAGGAGGAGGCAAGGGTCAAAAAGAACTTCAAGGAGTTGCGACAGTTGCTTGATGTGAGGGAGAAATGGCTCCTCAAACAATTGGACCAGCTAACCAACTCCCAGTTATCCATCATGCGTTCTCAGAAGGTAAAATAACCAATCCACCTGCTTATCGATGGACAACACTGTTTTGCCCCCTGCAGCTCTTTCTGTACGCAAAAGCAGCTTGAAAAAACTCAAAATGATAAATGTTCAATGAATATGCTGATGTTTTGCATTAGCTCCATTGAATGGAAATTGACTCCGATTCTGCCAAAAATTAAGAAGAAACCAAGAAGTGCTCTTTCGTAGATGAATATTGGTTTGTTTTCAGAAGACGATTGACGACGAAGCGTCCATGTGCAAAGAAGACGCTTTTGACAACACATATTGCCTGTGAGAATCTTTATGAAATATCAATGTAAAACTGAAGTTTGCAATAAATACATAATTGCATGTGCAGGGCCTGACTTTAGGAGCATCACTGATATTAAAGCTTTAATCAATTTTTACACCAGCAAACGCTTGTGTTATAGTTTTCCATCCTAACTCGATTAATTTTGGAAATTCTCAGTAGAATGACAAATTTATCTATTTATCCTAACGGGGCCAAGCTAGATTTTCCCATGAGTAACTTTGTTCACAGAGTGGTTTCATTAGTAGGAATGGTAGATTTAAAACTGATATCCTCTGCTTCTGGAAAATTAAATTTAAACTACCATCATTCAGTTAATAATTTGGTGAAGTCGGTTGCAGATAGTAATTAATTTTTCAAATGTTTCAATTTTTCAATCTGAAAATTTTTGTGGTTATCATCCTAATTGTTTCATTTGCCGTTTTTAAATGCAATTTGTGTTATCTGGTTCGGTTCTCTATCGGCTCAATTTTCGAAGCACAGTTTTTTTTTTATTTTATCAGTTTTTATTATGATTTAAAGTTCAGTAATTATTAAATTTTCTCGAGTCTGATTTTGAATATTTTAGTAGTTTTTTGTGGGCTGAACAGTTTCGGTGTATGATATATCGGCTTAGTCGACTTCTATGCCTTAATTTCGGGTATGGGATATTTGTTGCCATTTTGTGTTTTGGTGTACGGATGAGTAGTAAAAACTTCAAAAAATTTCAAAGCACAAAACATGTCGCCTTAGTTGCCGCTAGGTAAAGGATTCGCAATGCTTTCTAATGCTGTTTACGAACATCATCAAAGATTTTGTGCGGCCTAAAAAAAATGAATATTTCGGTTTGAAAACAACATCACCATCCGATTCAAGCATGAAGTTTTTGTAGGTGTAATTTTTGACTTATTTCACCTTATTTTTCTTTAGTTATTGAAAGTTATTCTTTCAACTCTAATTTTCTTGAAAGTTATTCTTTCAACTCTAGTTTTCAGAAAAAGATTTGATTTTTATTTTTATTCACTTTCTTGTAACCCAATGATTTTTTTGGTATAGCCAGTATTGCAAAGCTCCGTTTCGCCAGTGCTAAATTTTTGTCGATTTGTTAATTCTCTCGTACGCAATCGTAGTTCGGCTGCTGTAATGTTTCTGCTTCTTTCTTCGATACATTGCCTTCAATTTGGTATTGCAAAGCTCTGCTTCGCCTCAGAAAGAAAAACTGATTTTTGAAGTTCATACATTGCTCAAGTGATGTGTATTTTTTCTAACTTAAAAATGGAAAAGTTCTCTAAAGTGTAAAAAAATTGAAATGATTGTCCACTTACATAGTTCGTGATGATTTTTGATGACTTTTTATTGTTTTCTAAGTTCTTTTTCAAGAGGCAAATTCCACTATCGAACAACAAACTGTCACGGTCACGAAAAATCTGAATGACATCCATCTACTCCCAGCGGAATAAAAAATTTAT